GAATATTAAAAATGCTCAAACCAATCACAATGAGCAGGTTAGTTTTTGAAGAAAAAAAGAAGTTTGAAAAAACCGGAAAAAGTTTCAAAAAATGTACATATTTTTCAAAACGTTTGGCAGGGTAGTTTTTGAGATATGTCAAAACAAACATAAAAATTAACCATAATGTAAAAAATTGGCTTTTTGAGGTCATACCTTTTTTTCTTCCAAATTTAAGGAATAGCCGTTTGAGAAGGAGAGATCCCAATGACTACTTCTTTAGTTTAAACGTTCATCTCAGGTTTCTGCATTTATTATTTGAGAAAATGAACAAAATCAAAATCAAATAATTCAAAAATCCCCCTACTGAAACTTTCGAAAGCCGTAGGCAGATTTTCATGTAAACTGAGAAGAGACTAGCAAAATATGCAGGCACATAGAATAGCAGCCAGTTTTTTCCAATGACACCAGAATGAGAAAAAAATGAAACTTTTGGGAAAAGTTCAAAAATTTTCCAAGGGATCGCAAAAAAAAAAACAAAAATTAACAAATCGCATACATTTTCATAATACATGTTGTTTTCAAACTGGACCTAACACTAGCCAAAAATAAACCAGCACTATAAGCTATTAAATGACCTAATCTTACATACGTAAAAATATGATGAAATTGAAATCTACCAAATTTGCCACTAATGAGCAATGATTATTTCTGGTACCGAAAAAACAAAAACATGAAACACACTCAAAAAAAGTTCCTCCCAAATTTCAGTGGTCGGAACAATTCCATGTTAGTCCATTTCACAGCAGGTAGCGCAAAAAGTTCAGGCCCCAATCTTTTGAAAATTTCGTTCAAATCACGACCAAAAGGGCTTTAATATGGTATATCACTGACCAATTCTGATGATGATTATTTATATTACCGTACCTGGTTTGCATGCAAAACAAAGAAAGAAAAACTAAAAGCACTCCCAACGACAAAATTCTTCCCCATTTTTCAATGGCCGGAACATTTATATACCCAGAGGCAAAGCAGAGCTCGCACCATATGCAATACAAAACAAACATAGCGTGACAAACTAGCGGGTATACAATGTTACGAAAGCCGCTAAGACGGAAAAACATTTTGAGATGTCGAAAAAAGCCAGATCTACCAAAATATTTATATATTTGTCCAATTTATCTTGAAGGAGAAAAATGAGTTATTTTTGCATCGAAACAAACTTTACAAAGCGGTCAATAAAACAATTATTTTTGAGCAAACAAAACTTTGAAATATTACTAAGTTTCTCCCTCAAAAGACTCACACGCATAAGAAATTTGTTTCGCTTCTACAACAGCGCAGTATATGGCCGTTACCTCCACCAATGAGGCTTTTGAAAAGGCATTCAGGTATCACGAAGCAATGTTAACCTCCAAAAAATAATCGGGCTACGGGAAAAAGCCAACAAATAAACAGACGAACGGAAAAAAAACAGGTCCCAGCATCTTCGAATAGCAAGCCTTTGTCCTCTTAAGCAGTTATGCTGCAGTCTCTATCAAATTGCCAATGCGATGCAAGAAAAACTCGACTAAAAAACTAACTATTTGAATGCTCCGGATTTCGATCTCCTTCCGGTTCATTAGGAGTTCCACTTCCTCGCAATCGCGCCACAGACGATTGGAAGAAAAACTAGTTGCCCAGCTTATGCTAGATTCACATGTTTACACAAGCAAAGCGAAGTGTTTTATTACGAACAATTGTTTTTCCAACCTAAGACGCAAATAAAAGTGCTCATTAGTGGCACTTTTGGTATATTTCAATTTCATTATATTTAAGCGTATTTAAGCATAAGTTAATTAATAGGATACAGTGCTGATTTATTTTTGGCAGGTGTATGGTGCTGTTTGAAAACAACAGGTGTTATGAAAATGTATGGGTTTTGTTAATTTTTTTTTCGACCCTTAGGAAAACGTTTGAACTTTTTGCAATAATTTCATTTTTTTCTCAAAAACCAATGAACCATTTTTCAAAACAATGGTGTCATTAGAGAAGCTGGCTGCTAATCTATGTGCCTATTTTGCTAGTTTCTTTTCAGTTTACACCACGTTCTATGGCTTCCGAAAATTTCAGTTGGGGGACTTTTGCCTTATCTGTTTTGTAGAAAAGCCAATATGGACTTAGGAAAAATCCCTTTTTTGAAGTTTTCAGTTTGTTTGAAGAAATTTAATCACTGTTCTTGAAAGCTACCAGCTAAAGCCGATAAGACTATCAGCTAAAGACTATTCCCATGCTTTACTAGCGAAAATTTTAGTGAATTTAGAAAAGCCAACTTATACAATTTTTGATCAATTTTGGAATCTTTTTCAATTGTTTTTTTTTTCGAAAACTACCCAGCCAAATTTGAGTTACAGAATTCAGTTGAAAGATCGGTTAGAAGTTTTCTTCTTTAAAAATGCAGCTAATCCACTACTTAAATCGAAAAATAACAAGTGTTCTGTCTTAAGTCCATTTTTGAAACTTTCAAAATTACGCATTTCGGTATCAGTACAAAATAAGATCAAAAATTTAAATCAGGTAAATTTAGCATAAGCTGGATTAAATCCGGAACATTAAAATTATTACAGTTTTTTTTGTTCGAAGTTTTCCTGCACCTCATTGGCAATTTGATAGAATCTGCTTTATTGGTGGCTAGTGTTAGTAAAAATAGAAGCAATCAGTACGTGTGAAGCATCAGTAAAGTGAGTACGTGTTACTCCCAAGTCTTTCAAAAAAAGTCTCTGAAGGTGTCTTTTCAACCTGATCCTTGTGTTTTTAACCTCGCTTGTGTCAGCGAAGCGTAGCTTCGCCTCTGTGTTTAACATTTTGATTATATTTTGTACTGATACCGATATGCGTAAATTTCAAAGTTTAACAAAAGGACTTAACGGAAAACCCTAGTAATTTTTCTGCGTAAATAGTGGATTAGCTTCATATTTAACGAAAAAAAGTACAAATCGATCTTTCAACTGAACTCTTTATTTCAGATTTCGCTGGGTAGTTCTCGAAAAAAAAATTGAAAAAGATTCCGAAAAACGATCAAAAACTGAGAAAGTTGGCTTTTCCTGAACTCGCAAAATTTTCTCTGCTCGTATGCACCCTGATTTTTAGATTGAATCCTGAATATCGGTTTTAGCCAGTAGCTTTCAAGAACAGTGATGAAATTTCTTCAAACAAACTGTAAAAAATTCAAAAAAGGGATTTTTCCGATGTCCATATCCGCCATTCCACAAAACAATTAAAGCCAAACAGATTACACAGGAAAAACTTAAGCACGATGTTAGTTTGAATGAATTATCAACCTCAGAATGAGCAGGTTAGTTTTTGAAAAAAAAAAGTTTGCAAAAAACCGGCGAAAGTTTCAAAATTGTACATTTTCTGAGGCCATGTTTTTTCAAAACGTAGGACATAGCTGCTTGCGCAGGGAAGAATCGCACACCACGTTTTTTCTACCGATTTAACTTTTATTGTCCGGTTTGGCAGGGTGGTTTTTGAGAATTGTCAAAAAAAACATAAAAATTAACCAAAAGGTCAAAAAATGGGCTTGTTTGAGGTCATACCTTTTTTCTTGGAGATTTTAGGAAAAAGCCGCTTGAGAAAGAGAGATCCAAATGATTGTTTCTTTAGTTTAAACGTTCACCTCAGGTTTATGCATTTATTATTTGAAAAAATGAACAATTTCAAAATCAAATAAGTCAAAAATCCCCCTACTGAAACTTTCGAAAGCCTGTAGAACGTTGTGTAAACTGAAAAGAGGCAAGCAAAATATGCAGGCAAATAGAAAAACAGCCAGTTTTTCCAATAACACCATTGTTTTAAAAATTGGTTGAGTAGTTTTTGAGAAAAAAGAAACTTTTGTGAAAATTTTCCATAGGGTCGCAAAAAAAAAACTTACAAATCCCATACATTTTCATAATACCTGTTGTTTTCAAACTAGACCTAACACTAGCCAAAAATAAACCAGCACTATATGCTATTAAATGACCTAATCTTAAATACGTAAAAATATGATGAAAATGAAATATACCAAAAGTGCCACTAATGAGTACTTTCATTTGCGACTTAGGTTGGAAAAAAAATTGATCGTAATAAAACACTTTGCTTGTGTTAAAGAAATTGTTCGTAATAATACACTTCGCTTCGCTTGTGTAAAAACCATATTTGTAGGAAAACTTGTTTACAGCATTGTCCTACACTACAATGAAAAATTCGCAAGTTTAATGATTGGAAACGTCATCTCACAATCTTTTGAGCAGCTTGCAAACCGCTCACATTTTAGATAATTATGATTGCAATAATTTCATTCTAGTGCAAGACTCTTTTCTGGTAAACAAACAAGGATTTGATGTTTATCTGTTACTTTTCAGCCCTCTACGGCGGCAAGATTTTCACCAGGGTGTAGTTACTTTCTTCTAGCATTGCTCTTTTAGCCATTGTTCTTTTTCGTTCGAAGCTTCTTGGATGGCTAGTCAAATTTTTTAAAAACGAATGAATAAGCATTTTTTTGTAATTATATTTCAGAAATTGTGATCAAAAAACATGTTGCACACACCGGGACGTGTTGGTGTCACATAAGACGTGAAATACAATGTGCTATAATACATTATAACAAAAACACGTTTCATTTAGATACTACTGCTGATGAAAAAATAAACAAAGTATTAAATATGGTCATGTTTTAAAGAAAACTTATGCTCAGCCTAAGAAAAACGCCAGTTTTAATTTCTTGAATCTTCTGGTGCATAATTCATTTTCCTGTCAAATGCAATGCTCCAGCACCTTGTCCATAGCCATAACCCTTCGGTCCGAAGTTCTTTCCATAGCATGACTTGCAGTATGCCTGTGCGTCGTGGTCTGCCGCGGTCGCAACTTCTAAAACCTTTCCACAATCAGCACACTTGAAGCAAGTTCTGTGCCACGCTTTTCCGAATGCATCAATCTTTTCCATCGCATAAACAGTTTTAGTGCACACCGCACAAGGATCTCCGCCCCCAAATCTCGGCATCTTTTACGAACTTTCTAGAAATTTCTCCAAGTAATCAGCGAAAATCGGCGATCTTCCTGATTGAGGAATAATGAAATAAAGTAGATTGCTTTTCGAAATATTGCAACAAATTACAGGCAGTTAGATTTCTAATATCAGCCGAACTAAATTGCTTAAACTTCAAAACTGAATAGAAAAGTAAATTTCTTTGGCGGAATAAGATGACAGAATATTTTGAGCTTGTTTGACTCAAATTCTTTCAAACTTGGGTGTTTGCGAATGAGCTACTGTTAATCATCGATGTTTCTCAACTACTCCATTAATCGGTTTCGATTGTTAGTTTTAGTTTGAGCACTCCAGCTTCAAATTGTATACACACAGTTATTACAGTTGTTAGACTTCTATAAACACAGTTAGTTCACTAAATAGCCATGCCGCAAAGGCCAAACGCAGGCAATCAAACAAATATCTGAAACGAAGGAGCAAAGCAAGTACTATGGAAGGAATCAATATTGCATCAATATTTGCATTCAAACAAGCGAGGCCTTAAACTAAAAGGATTTTCAACGGATTGTACAAAACATTGTCAAATAAATATATTGTTCCACAGTCCAATTACAACAGTAGTTCAGTTGCTTTTTTCTAGTCTTCAGTAAATGTCCTTACAGAGATTGGTATGCTGAACATTTTCTATTCAGTTAGACCCTGGCCAATAACGTTTTAGCTCTAAGCTGCACAGCTACTATTAAATCAATTATGCTATGGAGGAAAGCAAAGCTGGACCTTAAAAAATCAGCTTGAATCAAAAACCAACAATTTCAAAGAACATTTTGAACTTTTTTGACAAGCAGAAGCAGTCTTCTTAGAAGATGCAGACAAAAAAACAGGAACATACCAAATATCAAATAGTTCATTCAGCAATAAAATTAAACAGATGCCAATAAATTTTCTGAAATTGGTCTAGGAGCATCAAATATAAGAACATTTTTCCAAGATCTATATTTTTTACAATTCTCTAAACAAGATTCCGAAGTCAACAAAACAAAGTTAGAAAACTCCAACATTTGACTTCCATTCACGTGTTCGTCCAGAATTTCAGTGAAAATCAAATCCTTCGCGAACTTACGAATAGTTTTGTCGTGTTTATAAAAATTTAATTGAGTCATAACTCCTTCATTTTTGAGCATCTGGATTCGGTTGTATTGGTCGTAGGAGAGATTGCTAAGCACCAGAGGAAACCCGGGCGAAAGAGGTATAGACACTGACACTTCGCGGAACAGGTTTCTCAGCAGAAATTCACGAGTCATAATCCCTCTCGAGAGCAAAATCAGAACCGATATCATCTTGCGTATTTGGTGCAGTATGAACGAATTTCCCTAAGGCACAACTCTTAACCTCAATTACCAATCACAATTTCAAAACAAAACAACAAAAATCAGTCGGTCTTTTCTAACTTCCAACCGCTAGAACGAAATATTTATAGGCGGCTTTGATGATTGACAGTCCAGCTAATTCCAATAGTGCTCTGCATTTAGAAATTCACCACGTTTATGCCACGAAAGTACATCTATATCTGTCAGAGATGTTGAAAAGTGATGAAACTCATTATTGCTCAACAAACTCTCAATTGTCTGATTCCGAATTTGGTCCTCATAAAACTGGCCAATTTCAACCTGATGTCGATCAAATTTGATTCTTGGCCAATATGGCGTGAAGAGATTGAAGAATTTATTGTAAAAGTCAAATCCGATTGAGTTCAGAAACAGAGGTGTTCCAGGAGCTACAGGAACCTCAAAGCGTTCTTCGAATAGACGCAGGAAGTCTGCTGTTGCGATAGAGCTTCTACCCAAAAGTATCAGACAAGTTATCATTTTTCGTACTTGGTTATACAGAAATGCGTTGCCCTAAAACGAAAAAAAAAACCATGTTTGTTACCAACTATGGCTTAAAGGTCAAACCTTCACCCGGCTTGTTTAAAAAAACTGGCGCTTTGAAGTTTCTTTATCGGAAAAAGGACAGAAGGATGCTCTGCATGTAGCTCAGAATGTTCCGATCAAACTGAAATACGACAGAAGTCCAAATTGACGAAAAATTTTTAATCAATCGAAAAACTATATAGATCTTTTCGCAACTTTCTAAGTAAATTTCCTGTCATTTTTTACGAGAGCGTTTGGAACAACATTTTTATAATGATGGCATTTCTCGAAGTAGCTGCGGGAAGTAAGTAAGGCGTAATGTGGATTTTTCCCGCGCCATTCAAGGTTTCTCAGAGTGTTCGCGGTGCTTCAACTGGGTTCGCGGTGCTTCAAGGCATCAGTAGCAATTCGAATTATTAAAATTTCTCGTCAAATTTAGCCGAAAAACTTGTTTCGCAGCAACCAGGTGCGCTTCAATCTTCTCATAGTTAACCATCTTCAAACTTGAATTTGCCCAAAAAAGTATCCTTAAAAAATCGGGCGTTACATGCAATAATTTAGAATAGCTAGTTTACCTTAAAATGAACAGTGCAGAACTCCACTCCTTTATACACAAATGGATCGTCAACTTTGCCATCAAAAATGTACCGATAACAGAAACTCTCAAATGATTTTCTGCTCCGAAACTCTTTCGCCAGACGCTTCTTGTCAGTAAAATTGATGAAATTTCTTCCCCCAATAAAATCAAGGGCCATTTTACGCACAAACCACAGATGTTCTTTTGATATTCGGAAGCTGCTGGCTTCATTCAAGCTCAATTCTGCAGTTTATTGCCCAATTGATCAATAGTACATATAATTCATTAATTATTGAACTAGCAAAAAAATAATAGATGGGAAGCAAAAACCATTCGTTAACCTCGAATAGCTGAAAACAAAACCCAACAGGCCAAAAAATATGAAAAAATCAGAAGTTACACAGAGGCTAAGTTGCACCATAGCCACTCTATAGCGGTTGTGCTTATTACTTTTAAACTAAAAAGCAGTACGATGATGGAAGCTTTTGAGCCGAAGAAAAAAAATCTAAGATAAACAATACATTTTCAGGGATCTGAACAACTTCATTTTGATTTCGTTATACGTAACTTAATTGGCCAAACAAGCTTCATTGGCACTATACTGTCCACTCAGATCGTGTAATGAAAACCAGGTAAACCAATTAAAGATTCGTAAGAAGAAAATGCTACGCTGCAAAAGTAGAAAAATTAAAATCAAACCCTTCAAATCTTAGCGAATGGTTAATAGCAAAGAATGGTTAATAACAAAGTTTTTTGTAACAATTTCATTTTTTTTTGTGCGCGGCGTGATAAAATGATCTGAAAGAAAAACTAGATTTTAGGCATTTCCGATGTTCATTGTAAAATAAGCACACTTGAAAGATGTTATCTCCAAAAAATGACTAGAAAAAAACAAAAAAAAATTGCTAAATTTTTTGAATTTTTGAAGTGTCTTCTTCCCAAGATGGTGCTAATAAATTGAAACCTTTTTTTACTAAATTTTTCAGTGCTTGAGAAAAATGGCTTATTTACTACTTATTTGCGACTATCTTTCTATAATAAGCCTCCTCGCTAGCTTTACTCACGCGAAAAAAATCGAAAAATCCAAACCGGTTTTTCTCGACGGTTACAAAATTTTTTGGAAGTTTTTTTGTGTTATTCGAATCGAAACTTTATGTGCTTTAATACGACATATCACTCAACCTAGTCCTATGAATATTTGTGGTATATGATTTTTTGCGGAAAAAAAGAAAAAACTAAAACAACTGAATACAAAGTTCCCCCCCAATTTCAAGTATCGGAACAAGAAGTTGGTTATCAATAGATTTAAAACTTTATATAAGAACGTCATACCTAGTCCTTTCAAATGTAACTTTCAATTAAATTCCAGTAACATGAATGTTAAGACTGTGTGTGAACATTTGAGTAAAATTCTTTGTTTGAAGTGAGACTTGGAAAACAATGTGGTATAGTTTGGAAATTACGGCACTATGAACCAAGCTGCCATCTATAAGACTACAACCGAAGTAATGTTATACCAATTTACAGAATGGGATTGATTTACAGATGTTGCAGTTTCACTGTTTTTAACCCTTTTTCATTATAGGCATACGTATTAATTTTAAAATTTTATTATACAACGGCAGAATCAATTTAAAAAAATAATTGAACAACAAAATTGCCGCTTGTTTCTCAAAATGTATTAACAAATCTCATATCTCAAATCTATTAACAAATAGCCTTGTTAGTGTTTTTGAACAATTTTTTTTTCAAACTTCTATGAAACTTACAAGAAGTTCCATTGCTAATTTACTCTCGAAAACTGTTTGTAAACGGAGAAAATTATAGTTTCTCGATACAGTATAGAGCTTGAAGGCTGTAAAACAAATTGAAAACCCTCAAAGAGGATAGCCGGTTTCTGTGCAAGTAGCACAGAATGTTCTAACAATAGTCCAAAAAACACAACAAAGTTATTTTTCAACATTCCTTTTTTTTCTGCGCGTTGTGATAAAAGGATCTCAACAAAAGACCAGAACTTGGAAAAATTCTACAGTATTTTAAAAAAAGACAATTTTGTAGAAAAACGACTAAGAAAACAAAAAAAGCGAAACAGATTGAAAATGAAAAAAGTTTTCTGCAGACTTCCAAATGGCGCTGAGAAATGTCCAAAAACAATGCCGCTGAGAAATGTCCAAAAACAACTTGACTGATTAAAAAATATGTTTTCACGGCCTTAATGAAGCAAAAATATGCTATTGTAAGCCAGCTCGCTCGTACTATTTGCTCGAATAGACTAAGAATAACAAATTTTAAACCTATTTTTCTTGATAGTGGGAGAATTTTTAGGACATTTTTATGTCGTTCGTATCACAACTGAAAGGCTTTAAAATGATACATCACTAGACTCATTCCCATAACTTTTCTGGTACCTGAATTTGCGTGGGAAAAAAGATAAGAATCTAAACAAACCCGAACACAGAGTTCCTTCGGATTTTTCAAATTGTCGTAGCAATAAGTTGCCCGTAGATATAAAATAGCTTTCTAAATGAAAGATCGCATTTTGACTACAATTTCAAAAAATCTTTTTTAATTCAAAACTGGGAATTGGTTAGATATATTTTTGAATTATATTTTTAAAAATGCATTCATAGGTTTACTGCGGCTAAAATTTCCCCAAGTGGTCACAATTTCTGTGGAAAAATGACCTTCAAAACCTTCTAGTTTACGAGAGATCGCAATGTTAAAAAGTTAATACCCAAACAAAAAATTCTATATATAGAAAGAATCAAAGAAAAAAATCCAATCTAATCACTTACTTTTTGAAACATAGACAACAGACATTTGGAAAAGAGTCATGAACACAAGGAAATAGAAAAAAAATACTATTGTTTTTTAGAAGAAAATTTCAAATTTTGAAATTCAAAAAATAAACAACATGGCTTTAAACTTCTTTGAATTTCAAGAAATAATTATGATCGACATTTTCTTGATAAAATTTCACCCAATTTGAAAAAACTAGATAAATAGGTAAAATATTTCTTCCACTGGAAAATCAAAACACAAGCAAAACTCATCAAAAAAAAAACTGAAACAACCATTCACCTTATAGGTAAAACTGTGTCCATTGTTGAAATGAAAACATCTACTCCAAGCCATAGTTCTTTCCCACTTTTTCAAGAGGAATCAAAACAATATTTTGAGTCGCTTTACTTTTTGATAAGTCTTAGATTTCATCTTTTAGTATATGTCTGATCAAATGGACGCGTAAGCTAGAGATATATAGAAATGTGCCTAGGCTTGCGAAAGCGTAAGTGGGCATCAGATACGAGTAGTGTCTGTGACTGGCCCAGTCCCAAGCATCGAATGAGGGAGCCACTGGGACAGCCTCGTGTACTCTGATCTCCTTGGGGAGAGACGAGTTCAACACAGAGAGCTTAGAGGGTGAGTAACGGTGCAGATTGCAGCTCAATACCTGTCGTAAAGCAGACACGCCTAAAACATGAAACAGGTTCAGAAAAAGATCTTCAAGCTCTAAAAATTGAGCAAACAATATCACAAAAACGGACATTCCAAAAAACTAACAAAATCATACAAAACTGCAGAACTTAGAATTACATAACATACTTATTTTCCGATTAAAAGTTCCAAATCTTTGATGATAAATGCGATCAATTCCAAAATTCGCAGCTTCAATTTTATCAATCCATGGTCGGTTCTTGCTTTTTGGAGGACTCTTATTTTTACTTTTCTGAATGCTTATTTCGGTAGATTTCAGGCGAAAGCATTAACCTCCAGTAGTTATGATGTTGGAAACAGGAAAACCAACGTAACCTAAAAACATTCATTTCAAATTTGTGACAATGCATACAAAAAATAAAACTAATAATTATGCCGAAAATTTTCTCATTCTATTTTTACTTCAACGCTAGACTTCAATTAACAAGTTTTCAAGCCCAAGTCTAACTTCAGCTAGGCAGAGAACTTGTCGGAACTCTTCAATAGACATGAAAAAACGTTCTTCCGCTCATACGAAAAGTCTTAATTCAATGAAATTATCTTATTCAATTCAAAAAATCTGTAAAGGGTTTGCAGCAATAAAATCAAATAGAACATCATCTCAAACTTAACTACATCTAAATTTTTTAGACGTTAAAACAAAATCTCTGGATACAAGTTAGGGTCTTCGGGTTGATATCTTCATCTAAGTTCTGTAGGGCTGAACTAATACAATTGGCATAAAAATAGCTACAGACTAGAAATAAAGTTAAAACTGATAGACTAAACCCGCATCAAACTCTGAAACCTTTGTCAGTGCGAGAAGCTCTACTGAACTGCAAAGCATGAGTTTCGGATGCCACAGCAGATTTGCGAATTAGTCCCGCCTTCCACAGACCCTCCCACAACAGTTTCTCAATCGTGTGGGTTTTCAAGTTCGGCTGCCATTGAAGACCTTGAAAAGGAGCTCCGTAGTATGAAACCAAGAGAGCATATCTACAGTTCGCTGCCCGCTTCATGTTAACTAAATCAAAGAACAATCAATGTTTTCCGAATCTGAAACACAAGGAAATAATGAAAGCAATTCATGGTCACTGTTAGAGAATGAACACATTTCCGACAGAGAGGCAAAGAAGAGATTCGCGTCATTCGCGATATAACATAAACGTAGCATGGCAAAAAGCCCTGAGACAGAAAATGAGACGAACGCCGCTAAGTAAAAAAAATGAAAGAATGGTTTTCTCGTTTGTCTCGATTTGCATTGAAAATTACTTAACTTAAAAAAACACATTCCAATGAGTGTGAAGGTAGTATCAGAAAAAAAACTTACCAAACAGTAACAAAACTCGCTGCAGACGCGAAGCTGCGCTACCCAAACACAAGCTAGAAAAAGTTTTAAAAAAATAGCTCAAAATGGTCAAAAAAAGTAAAAAGAACAGAAGCAAGATTGGCAGCTCCTGAGAGTACTCTCACAATTCCCAACTACAGCGTTGGGAATTTCAAATTTTGAGAAACTTCAAATTTAAATTTCCTAAAAATTGTTTCGAAAAAACTATAAAAATTTTCATACTTTGGAAACAACAGACTTGATCATTAATAATTGATGGCAAAATTTGTAACCCCAGAGAGTTCTCTGACAGCCCCCACTTACAGAGTACGAAATTTGAAAAAAAAAAATTTAATTTAAGTTTTCTGAAATTTTTTTCGAAAAACCAAAAAAAAGGTCTTATCTGGAAATCTACAAAGATTTGAGCAGTCATGATTGGATGCAAAATGTGCAACCACTGGAGTACCCTGACAGAGCCTCACTTTAGAGATGGGAACCTCAAACTTTGTGAAATTTTTTATATCTAAGTTCTTTGAACAAATTCTATTAAAGACATAACAAACGTCACAACTCGGTCACATTTGGGCAGTCGCTTTTGGATGCAAAGCTTGCAACTTGGCTTTTCTGAGACTACCCGTACAGTACCCAGCTATAAGGTTGGAAATTTCGAAGCTTTCATTTTTTTAAATCTGAAAAATTAAGTTTTCTGAAAAATTAAAAAGAAATCATAAAACACCTCATATCTCGAAAACTACAAGGATTTATGCAGTCATACTTGGGGCAAAGATCGCAATCCTAAAGAGAACTCTGACAGTACCTAACTACAGGGTTGCGAATTTCAAAGTTTGAAAGTGTTTTTTAATTTGAGTTTTCTAATACTTTTGCAACCCCTGGGGTAACCTTGACAGCATCTTACTGTTGGGTTGCTTTTTTAAAACTCGGTGAAATAAACACTGAATTCAATCAAACTGGAAAATCGAAAAAATTCTTAACCATTACAATATACGATATATCTTAAACGTGAAAAAAATCTTTCGTTGAAAATGCAAAAATAAAACGTTGAAAAAGCTTAAACGTGGCGAGATAGTGAAGCACGCATTTAAATATGTAAAAGATAGGCGAAGAAAGTGACAGAAAACTTTTAGGTTGGGTTGCCTGAACATGGATGTAGCAAAATAGTACCTTTGTGTGGTGAGTGAGACGAAGACAAAAATCTCTTTTAAAATCTAGGTTTAAATTCACATCAATCCTTGACCCTTAGCAATTAAACGCGTAATAATAATCACATATTAAATAATTCATGTGTATTCATAGTTGTGAAAAAAAAACAGACGAAAATTAATGTCTAAGACTTGGATCGTTTATTCTGCGTCCAAATAATCTCTTCCACAATTTCACAACTCTTTTCGTAGATGAGCTCCTTTGATTTTGACAAATCCAGGGCTGATCAGGGCACAGTACATTCGCTTTAAACCAACTGAAGGTTATGAAATCAACCGGATTCGCATAAGGTATTCGTGGAGTCCATCCATCTCCAACCTTTAAAAGATAAGGGACGCCATGATGCTCATCTCTCAAACCACTCCTATGATTCTCTCGTTTTAACTCCCCAATTCCGAAACCAATTTTGGTTATTATATTAACATGACAATCAGGATCGTAGAAGGATAAAATGTAATTAAGTTGCTTGCCTTCCTCCGAGTAATCAAAAAGTTTTGTTAAATACTCCTTAGGAGTCAGCAACGCATCTCTGTAACCATACGTGAAATAATAATAATATTGACCTTGGCAACAACCCTCTCTGACTACAAAATGGTTATGATTCTCATACACTGATTCAAAGAGATCATAACATTCTTTTCTAACAAATCTCTTTAACTCGATAAGATGACTTGATAACACCGGATCACTGATAAAAATTGCTCCAGAAATGGTCTGGATTTGAAACGCTGGATTGTATACATCGTCTTCAGTGACGAAAGCATTTAGGCAGTAGTAAGTACTAAGCTCGTTGCACAGTGACCAGATGTAATTATAAGGCATATCAACTGGAATTATGAAATTAAGAGAAGACCAAGTTGGTTCGACAGTCGAATTAACTACAATATCATCTGCTGTTCCAAATTTGATGCTAACTAACCAAAATGATGCACACCATAGCTTACCAAAATTCATTTTTAGCAATACTTTTGCAATTTCGTAACGATCAACAAATACCGTGAATCAGGTTCGTTTTTATACCTTGTTCAGTGTCATTTGAATAACAAATACAATATGACTAGCATATATGAACTGAATCAGGGGCTCAGAACTGAAGGCATTCAAATCATTTCAGCTGATCTGAACATTTGCAATACGACCTCACTGATCAAGTTTTGCCATAGAAAAGTCACTCCGACTTTCGAAGAATAGGCGATGCTAACTGACCCGAATTTTTAAAACAGAGGCGAAGCAGAGCAGATGTTTGTCTCAATCTGTCTTGAATAAAGTTCACAAAAAAAAACAAATCAAAAAAGACAATCGAGAGCTACGCCCGACAATATTCAAGCCGACACCTGTTGAGCCAAAAAAATGGTTTTCATTAAAAAAAAACTTTGAAAAATAATAAATTATCCACTCAAAAACTCCAAATCTGACTAAACTTTGACTAATCTCCTAAAACTGATATTACGCAAAAATCTTGCAACTCAATTACCTCTATCAATGGGTTCTGAAATGTCATTCAGAAATTAAGAAGAAAGCTGAATCTTCAAGAAGAGACCGTGCTGCGGAAACAAAGTCGACAAAAAACACAGAGGCGAAGAAGTCGAGAAAAAAACACAGAGGCGAAGCTGCAATTCGCTATCATACGTGAAAAAAAACGCCAAGAAATAACTTTAAAAGGGTAGAAAAACGGAAATTAACTTAAAACCTAATGACATTTGAAAAATAACTGACCTTTACTGTAATTGAACTTCAGACTGAAGACATTCGAGATTTTCGGTTGACTACCCTAAACACTAATGCCACTGAAGCTTAGAGAAACCAAGGACAAGCGAGAAAGCTGCAAAATATAGTTTCAATATGTTAGAAAATACAAAATTTGCGTGTAACAATTTAGAATATAATGAGCGAACGGCAACCACACTGACTTTCCAAGAATTAAAAGAGAAATTATGTGGCCAAGTTGTGTTTAAATTATGCATTTCAAAAATTTGTTGAAAATTTTCTGAAAGAGTATATATATTATTGTACTGTTGTATGAAACAGATAGGATAGCTTTATTTGCAGCAATTGATGAAATAAAAAAGCCTCAATTGTATTAACTCATTGTCGTTTCAAGCAAGTGTGTTATCTCAACGCCATATTCGCTGAATGGTTGAACTCTTTTAAAACCATTACACAGATGCGATGCAATCGGGAAAAAAAGAAAAAAAACATTGAAAACTTTCGGAAATGACAAAAAACTAGACGTAACAAAATGAATAAAGGTAGTTTTGAAAAAATACATGCCAATACAAATAATAGGAAATTAGCATCGTATGAAAACTTGCCAAGCGGTAAAAAAAGCCGAAAGCACCTGAGCAGAAACCGTTTCAGCCGAAAAAAAATCACAAAATAAACGTTCGGGTCCTCTACCGCTCAAAACAAACACACATTCACACAAAAAAGTCTTCGGTCATGAAACAACGCAATATCAGGCCATTAAAAAACATGTCGAAATAATTTCGGCAGTATAAAACTTTAAGCAGAAACAAAAATTTTTATAGTCGAGTTTTGTAAAATTACAAACAGCACAAGTAAATCAAAACACTAAAAGCAACTACAATGTAAATTGCTCTTCTTAAAAAAACAATCGTATGATGTGGCAACTAAGCCGACAAAACTTAAACAGACAAATAACAAAGCGACAAATTTTTTTTTTGAAACGGAATTTTTCCCGTTTGAAAAAAAAAAGGTCCAGTCAGACTCGAAACCAGGATCTTCGTCGTCGCACGTGTATTCGTTATCCGCTCATTCGACGCTAAGAAATGTGAATTCATTGTGAACTTAACTAAAAAATACCATTTTTAATTTTGACCATTTTGTGAACCTAAGTTTGACCAATCTGCGAACTAAAATATTTTTGGGAAAAATTTGTACCCGGTTGTAATGCTCAACAAAAATTTTGATGTAGTTTGGCCAATTCAATGCACGCATATAAGTGACTATATGTAGAAGGTGGGACTCCCAATTAATAGAGTTGTTTAAGTATCCACTACGGTACCTAGAAACGAACTCGCCCCCCCCCCTTTCAAATCACATTGAGGCCTAACTAGACTAACGACAAACACTTATTTAGAAACACTTGTCACTTACACTCATTTAGTTTAGAACACTTGTCACTAAACTACTTGTACCGAGTTTACTTTTCTGACTTCCCCCACTTTATCACCCACCACCCCACCCCACCCCCCCCCCCCACAAAAAACAGACTAGACAAGGCATTCTTGACAGCAAACCTTCCCAAACACTCGATGCCAATGACCTACGCAATGTCCACACTTGAAACAATTTGGAACCCTAGCCGTGGAAAAACTGATATCTTCATCTAAATTATTCTGTCTAAAAACATTACCTAATTAAAATGGAAAAACCATCCCGCTATCAAAACCAGATGAACATTCAAATTTTTAACATCCTATAGACCCATATCACTTATTTACTTAGCAATTAACATTTTAGAAGCTCATTCATTATTTTTACTGAACAACTCTCTAATTCGAAGCATCAATACGGCTTCCGTCATTCTCACTGCAGCACTAACTAGAATAGCTCACCGCCTCGCACTGTCACTGCCATACTATCTCTCTCAAATGCTTTCGATATGGTAGGCCATCGCACTCTCATGGACCTCGATCAAACCAACGCTCCTTAGAGGCCTAGTACACTCGCTGAGAAATTATTTGAATAGCCGTCAAGCCACTACATGCTTTCGTGAACAGTCAGCTCACACAGAATAACACACTTTAGAGAACCTTAGGGCTCGCTTCTATCATTCACGCTTTTTTACTTATATGTTCATGATTCTGCCACCAGAGAATGCCCACTTAACCTCTAACGCGGACGACTTCCAGCCTTTCTCACCAAGTCCTGGTATTATGGAGGCATCAATCTCTCTCAACGTTTCCCCGCCACATCTTATGACTTTTTTCATTTCTCATAAGCTAACTTTTGCTTCATATGAAAAGCCAATAACGCTTTTCGTTTTAAAAAAACACTTGGTGATATTTTTTAAATATGAGCCCCTCCCACTTAACACAAATACCAAAATATTAGACGTTAATTTTAACCCGACTCAGTTTTGTCGCTCAGTTTAGCGAATCTTAATGTTAAAAACCACCGCATTTTATTCAAATGCTTATTATTTCATCTCCACCTACCGTTGCCATCACCACAACAGTTATTTTCGCAATCATCGCCCTCTCCCTCATCGAGTACCGCGTTACTAACTAATCAAACACACCGAATTACTAAAAAATCAAGCAGTGCTTTACTAACCAATCCCGTGAGCTAGTCGATAAAACAATCACGGGGGGTAAGGGAATTAGACGACAAGCAAATTAGAAGTGACCAACAAAAACGAATTTAGACGTTAAATTGTTTTGCAAAACTAGCATTTTAGCAAAGCAAAGGGCTAACAAAACTTATTGCTTAAAACAAGTTTTCATAATTACAAAAATAATATATGATCCCATTGCATATCAAAATATTTATCTCAATTGATTTATAAAATGTTAATTTCAAAATTATAAAACATTTTTGAAATGCATAAATTATACAATTGCGGCATGTGAAAATTGCGGCATGTGAAAATTTGATTTGCATTTAAGAAATCTGAACGAAAGTTAATTGTAGTCGGTAAACAAATTTCAGACACGAAACAATACAATTACGTCTAATTTCCCATATTTGTAATTTTGCATCGACGTCTAAATTCATTTTTGTTGGTCACGTTTAATTTGCTTTTCGTCTAATTTCCTAGGCCCCACAATCACTTTATAAGTTAAGATAAGTTAAGAGCCCGATTATTTTATTTTTAACTTCATAGCTCGAATTAAGTGCTTTTCAAAACGTTGCCAACTTACATTTAAAAAAGCAGAAACTCTAGGAGACCGGAAAAAATGAATTAAAAGTTTTAAAGGAAAAATATCTTATATCTTAAAATTAAAAAAACTTTTATATCTAACACTTTTTGGCAAAATAAACCAGATGCAGAAATCTGGATCCATGGGTGATTTTTTCTTTTCCGCTAGGATAATTGAACTACCCGTTCAAAACTTCAGTTAACCGCATTTTTTGTGCCATTTGCTGATTCTTGGAGAGTGTGATTTACCTTCCTTTAATAATACGTTTACATTGAATTTGTATGAAAAAGAATTTCCATACGCGACAAATCAAACAACTAACATTGATTCCTGTAACGAAAAACGCAACGTATCTTCACATCGTTCGCTGACACTAAAGAGGCTTGCATTAAAAAAAAAACTATACGAGACATACGAGAATCAAAACACGGGCTCCCGTTACATAAGCCCCTGTTTTTAACACTAAACCATCTTTTTCTGACTAAAAAAATGATTGAATGAACAACACAGTAAACAGTGAATATGATTAAGTGGATATAGCTAATGTTATTAAAAACTGCAAAATAAAAAGTCTTGATTTGGAAAAAAACCCGGTTTCTTCTCCAGTTCTTCCAAACTCGGGAAAGATTTTAATTATCTTTTTGTACGTTGCAACAAACGCAATAATTTCTTGGATACTTTCTGTCTCATTCCGACATCAACAGTTTGATTTTTTTTGAAAAAACCACAAAAGTTATATAACTTTTTAGTTTAAAGAACCTTTCATGCTAAACTTTTTGGTCATAGCTAGAGAAACCTGAATCAATAGATAACTTTTCTATTCTGCGAATTCTGAAACCGAACGTCCAGGTTTGAAACAAGATCATTCACATTTCTTCGAATCATTCGCATGTTTGATATTGGAGGGCAGAAATTGTCTTCTTTTTAGCAAATGTCTTTGAAAAGCAAAAATCAATTATCAAAGCGCGAAAAATCAAATTTCAGCGTGAAAAATTTTTACCAATTCTGCTTCGCTACAGTTAAGGACATTTAATAGAATTGACCCATGTTGAGAAAATGGGTCACATTACAATTTATTAGTTCGCTGTGAAAAAAAATTAAATTCCAGTCTCGAAACTAAAGGCCAGTCGCGCATTGTTCGCAAACGAAACGGAAACCACTATAGAAAAATGAAAAAAAAAGTACCAAGAACACACAGTCAAAAGAGGCAATTGCATTCATCAATTGAGCACTTAGTGTCATTTACTGAGCGGGCACTTGGCCGAAAACACTTGGATAGACCCCCGATGAGCTAAAAACAAAACTGCAAATAAATTTTTGTGGCCCACTATCACAGCCGGCTCCATCTCAAACGTAAAAAAAAGCATACAATTCTAATTTTTTCTCATCAAACAATGAAGTATAAAAAAACTAATGCGGTGTAAAATCAGCCAAAACCGTTTGAGCGAAAAGAACAACAAGAAAATCAATAAAGAATTTATGCAACGACGGTACTTATGCAACATCATAGTTGGTAAAATTTTAAAAAGAAAACACTTTCACTTTTAGTTTAAAACGTTTCAGTCAGAACAAAAATCCATGCTTTCAAACTTGAGCCGACAAAACAAACTAAGCAGACAAATCATAGTTTCTCCAAAAAAAAAACATTTCACTTATTGAAAAAACAAAAACGGTTTTTCGTTCCAAAAATATACACTACCACTAGACTAAGTGACAATTGTCCTGGAAGTTGTTGACGCTCCGAAAAAAGCAAGTTCTTTTTTACAGATTTGTTCGAAAAGTTGATCAAAAAACTATATGTACAGTAGTAAAACTGCTTTTACGGCTTAAAATATGCTATGGTATGCTTTTTAGCTATTAAAATAAGCTATTGTAAGCCTGCTTGCTCGCGACAAAAAGACTAAAAACCAAAAACTTCAAACCAGTGAAGTTTGACAGCCCTGGCAGCCCACAACTACAGGGTTAGAAATTTCAAACTTTGAAGAAAAAAAATTAATTTGTTTTCTGAAAATTTTTTTCAAAATTATAAAACACGTCATAACTCGAAAACTTAAAGGATTTGTGCAGTCAAATTTGGAGGCAAGATTTCCAATCCTTGAGAGTACTCTGACAGCGCCCAAATACAGGGTTGCGAATTTCGAGTGTTGTTTTAGTAATTTGAGTTTTCTGAAAAGTTTTGAAAAAAAATCACAAAAATTGTCTTATCTTGTACACTAAAAGGATTTGGGCATTCGTAATTGGAGGCCTAAATTGCAACCCAAGGAAAACCCTGACAACATTCCACTATTAGGCTGCTTATTTTAAACTCGGTTAAATAAACACTGAATTCAGCTGGAAAATCGAAGAAAAATCTTAACCATTGCGATATACGATATAGCGCAAACGTGAAAAAATTCTTTCGTTAAACATGCCAAAATAATACGGTCAAAAAGCTTAAACATGGCGAGACAGTAAAGCCTGCATTTAAATATATAATAGATTTAATCGGTTTTCGATTTACACTCCCTGCACGGCAATTAATGCTAAACTCCACTTTATTAACATTTATTTAACAGAAAAAAGTTTCAAAAGATTTGAATAAACACAAACAAAATCAATTCAGATGTAATATACATACAAAATGAAAAATCATTATTATATTTTCCAATCAAACAACGAGTCTATACGTGACATATCTTCCAGCCGTTTCTGACTTCCTAATGATTCTCACAACATCACCGCGTTTGAGTCCGAAGTACCTCGCAACAGGATCTCCCATTTGAATCCTGGGAAGCTGATGGTCCTTCAATTTATATCGGGTCAGTAGCTCCTTCTTTTCTTCTGTCGTCATCAGAACGTGCTCGGGTACTAACATGTGTTCCGTGATGTTTATCAGTAACTCGCACTCCATAAACTGTTCTAGAGTGTATTTAGGCGCCATATCTGTCAGCGCCGCTTTGGCTGACGGCGTCATTCCACCTTGGACAACAATAACTGCACGCGTAATACTCTCCTCTTGCATTCTTTGACAGTAGTGCTTGATAGTTTTGATACCAATTTTAGCTTCTTCCGGGAAAAATACAAACATTTGATTTGTTGGGTCATCGTTATGTGCCACTAATACTATCAAATCGGACCTCGCCGGTTTCCGCTGACTGGGTGTATTTCCAAACTTCTCAATAAACTGTTCAAGCGTTTCGTCTAATTCGTCTTGCGTGACAAGATACCCTCTGTCATGGCACAATTGCATTATGGTTTTGCGGATGCGCCATAACTTGTACGTTTCGGCCTCGTCATCCATTATCTGAAACGTTGAACAAATCAGATTCCGTAGTTATTCAAATGGAGATAACATCTTCAAAAAATGATTATCTTTATATCCACGATCAAGCAGTCTCTCAGATTTCTATACAATGTCAGGCTCCAATGTCACGCAAAAATTTCAATACGAGGCAAAGCTGAACTTGCAGTGCGTACATACATACTTCTTCATACGTACTGAAATACACAAGGTCCGGAAGGGACTCGAACCTGAGATCTTATCCTTCCAATGCCACTGCGTTGCCTCTAGACCAAGTGACAAAGATCATGAAAAATTATTAAGGTTCAATAATAAAGCAAGTTCAATTTCTTACATATTCAAGAAAAGTTGTTTATGGAATCAATGTCTAGTCCCCTTACTAGAAACTTGATCTCGCTAGTGCAATCCAAACAAAACTCTTCTTCAATATTATCAAAACTGAATTTGAGGCAGCTAGATTATAAATTTTACACTTACTATGTTGTTCCAGCGAATCGCAGAGGAGCTATCAGTAGACCTTAACAGTCTTGACGAGGATAGTCCATTTGTATTATCTCCCCCAAATTCCAGACTGTTATTTTGTTGAGCGAAGCTCTTTATTTGCGACTCTGGCTGTTTTTTTTTGCGTCTAGAACGTTTACGTGGTACCACTATTGTAGCTGAAACTGGTCAGGCTGTGGTAAACCTGACGCTAGAGGTCAAGTGAGAGCTCATCCTAACACACTATCATTGCCATGGTATGGGATCGAATACACGATCTGACCATTTCAAAGTGAGCGCCTTGCACTTCACTAAAAAACATTTCCTAAAATTTGTATTGAAAAATATATAAACTGCTTTTTTCTATATATAGATTAGATGCTACCTCTAACAGTACATTAGGCTCAAAATATATAAACATCATAGCAACATTAGTAAAACATGGTTAAATTGATCTCGGAAAAAAACTTGGGACTCTTTATTATCACTATCTGCTATGATTACGTATCAATAAACCAGGAAAGCTGCCTTATAAGTCCCAATTCAGACTATAGAAAAGAGATTATTTTGAGGCAAAAACGAACAACGCAATTTTTTTTTACCGCAGATCAGTCAAAACAGACCCAATTTAAATTACAAGTATAGGGCATGATAGCATTAAATGATTTAAAAATAACTAATTTCAATAATCTCCTCGTGTATTACGTTTCTTTGCGTCGTAGAACGACATTTAGAATTCTGTTTGTATTGGCCTTCAGAAAATGATGTCTGCGTCGTAGTTTGAGCTGAGCATGCTCTTCACTTCCAAAGCAGGAGCATCCAGGGCAGCTTTCATCTTCTCCTCCGCGGCCTTCTTGTCTCTCATCTTCTTGTTCTGCACTTTCTTCAGCCGGTAGAAATCCTCTCGTTCCATCTCGTCTAACTCCGACAACATATACGCGATAGTATTCTCAATTCTAGGAATCAAAACATACTCCAAGGCGTTCACTCTCCTGTTGGTCAATTTCAGAGCCTCGTCCAGCGTGAAAAACCACGTCTGTAAAGTTGCCAGATCTACAATACATTTGACTGCCTCCAGAAAAGTGTTTCTAGTTTCCTGAACTTTCTGGCCGCCCCGGGCTAAACCAGTCATTACAGCATCTTTGTTATTCTGCTCTATGTGAGTTTCGTTCGTAATCAGTGCGACACCAACCACATTTTCCTTTCGCTGACGCACTCTGGTAGTGGCGCTCTCAATGGCATTGGCCAAAATGACATTTTTGATGTCACCAGCAACGAACTCCGACTCAACTAATGAAAAGTAGGACTGTTTCATAAGTTCCCCCAACTTGGTTTTGATCTCAGTTATTTCTCGCACCACTTTTCTGAATCTCATCTGCAAGGCATCTGCTTTCTTCTTCAGTAGTTCGTATCCCTTTTTAGCACCAACCAAACGGCCCTTCAGCAATCCAATGTTCATCCTCGAAGGAAACATCGCTATTTTATCGTTCGACCTACTCATGTTTTCTGAAAAATCTCTCCGCTCCTTATTTGAATGTTCTCTCAAAAGCTCCGAAGAAACGCTTTTTTGCAACAAATTAAGCTATAAATGCAGACCGAAAATATAAATTTGTTTCAAATTAATTCTTAACTAAGCTATCTTAAATAGTTGCTCACGGACCATTTGCAAATGAAACATTATTTCCATAAATAAACAATAGCTGGTCCAAAAACAAACTCATATAATATTCAATTCACTGCTCTTCCTTTTAAATTATTTTCATAATATACACAATTAGTGATATATCTGCTCTTGATCACTTTATCAAGGGGTACTTCGATATAGATGGGAAACTGGATCAAAGAAAAATTCTATTGGTACTTTGGTTATTAACAAAAAGAAGCTAATATCGTACAAGAAAAGTGTTTACACAACCATTGACGAATGAGTAAATGAACATGGTATGATAAATTCGATCTTTTATCTGACATTACTGTGCTTCAGCAAAGGCTCGCAGCTCATTCAAGTCATCATCTTCTTCCTGTGCAGGAAGGCTGGTCGTGGGCACGTTAGGTAGCGAAGCGCTGGGAACAGCAGCAATGTCCAGCATCTGCGCGTCCAAGTCCTCCTGCATCAAGTCGTTCAATTCAGCTTCCAGGTCATCTTCATCAACGTCATTGGCTCCAAAACCAATCTGGCGCGAAAGTGCGTCGTTGATTTGTTCACCCTGTGATATTTGCTCTTCGATGTCATACATCATATCTTCCAGTTTATCCAGGTTGTTGGCCTTCTGAGTCTGCTGCAATGAGGTTGCAGCCTGATGCATGGCTTTCGTCACTTGAGCAGTCATTTGAGATTGTTCGAGCTGATCCTGAACATTCAAAGGCCATTTAGTACGTGAGTAATAGTAGTCGAAACAAAATCAGCCGATTAGTGTTCAATAGCACAAAAAATGAATGTTGTTTTTTTGATATGTATTTTTTTGGAAGCGGGTAAACATAGGCATATTGAAATAATTAAAGCGCATATAAAGAAAATTTCGTAAATTAAGATCTTTAAGCTAGTCATTCAATCACTGCTAGGTGCCAAAATACTATGCAGGTCTATACGGTTGTAAATTGATAAAAGGTATAACTAATAAAACAATTAGCTATATGACGAAACAAATCCCGATGTCGAGGTTAAGAGTCAAAGTTCCTAGCATCTGCACCATTGTCGCTTCACAATAATTTAGCATGGCTAGGGGTAAAGCTAGGGGTAATTGAAAGGTAAAGCGTAAATACGAAAGGTAAAGCGTTTATTCAAAAAGTGTCAAGAAAACAAAAATTGAACATTTACAAAAACCATAGCTGATTCCTATCAAAAATAAGGAGAAAAGGTTTTGCAGGGGAGAGTCAAACATCTCAATTCGATTGACTTCTTAAATTCAGAATTAACATGCTCGTTTTTGGAAAACTCTCTTTTCGCGATAACTTAGTTTAATGTGCGAAATAGACTGACTGGTTAGAAGTATTTGATTTGTTCTGGCAGTTTAGATATAAGTTCGCAATAAAAGACAAAGAGCTCAATCAGATAAATCAAAAATGAACATAAGTAAAATATATTGTCATTTTAATCAACGATACGTTTTAGAGCTTAAACATTGCCGCTAACGTTAATTTTTATGAATTGGGAGAGCTTATTGACTTTTACTCGATTGCCGTTGAAATTCGTTGCTGGGATCAGGAGTCCGAGAGGGTCGAAGAACTTGCCTAATTACTAAAAATGATACGACGAGTAACCGTACTTCGTGGATCATCATCGGATTCCTGCAAGGATTGGAAGGAATATTCATTTGTCGATTTAAGAGTGGCCAAACGTTGAGTTTCTTCGACGTTGGGATCCCAATTGCAGCTCTTGTAGCCTGAAAAGTCCTCGATTGACATCCTCGGTTTGTATTGATGATCCTCCTGGAAGAGCAGGGGACACTTTCAGGGTCTCTACAAAGGCTTTTTTCATGTCTAGTGTACGTCAGCAGTAGAATCGTTGATTGCATACTTGCCAAACCTGGTTTAAAAACTTTCCAGAATGACCGGTACGCATGTTAACTCCATCGCAAGTCATTTTAGGTTCCTGAAGTAACTCCTTCGGGTCCTCGGAAAGTGTTTCAATGAAATCAACGACTTCGGACTCCATACTTAAGTAGCTCCTAGAATTTCTTGAAATTCTTTCTCAGTTGATACTGTTGACCTGATCTGGAACCTTTCCAATCTCTAGGCGACCTAATTTCGAACTTAGGTTTTTTGGAATTCTTGCCGACGTTGGTGTCGCTCCGCAACATATTTGAGAGATCTCTTTTCAAAACCCAATCAACAAGGCACGCATGTGAATCCGATAGCGACATTTCGGAGGTACCGGAAATGATCTTTTTGAAGTCTTCGGAGACTTCAAGAACAGCATCAACTGAGGAACCTTGAAAACAATCTGCAAGTAGTGTTTGCGCTCTTTACTCCTGCTAAACATTTCGAAATTTTGCAACAACCTACCTGAAATCCAAAAAAAAACCTTTTCTGCCTTTGAAGCGGCCAAAAAAAAATTAGCTGAAACACCCTATTTAAGCCGAATAAAAGTTTTTTCAGCAAAAAAAAACAGGATAACCAGGGCTAAGTTTTACAAGCTAATGGAGTAAACCAATGAAAATCGCTGTCAGCAAGAGAGACTTCCCGGATTTGGCAATTGAGCTGATAAACCATCAGCAGAAAAACATGCCAGATATTTGAACCTTATATTAGCAAGGTGACTAACTTGCATAGAGGAACCGAAGACGACAACCTTCCAGCAGACTAAAATTGAACGAAAAAAATTATTTTAAAGAAAATTTCAAGTCCCCCCTGAAATTAAATTTAACACTTACACTTGCAAATGCAATGAAGCTTGCATACAGCACAAGAAAAATGCTATATGTGTCAATGAAGCCGACATTATTTGAGCAGACACCAGTGAAGTCGACAACAAATTGATTTAAGCAAGATTTTTTTACAATAAGGCGAAAACCCTTCTATCCATTGAACCCAGAAACAGACATGACAGTGGTATTTTTCGAGAAAACAAGAAAAAAAATGGTCAAATATTACCCCACAGACTTTTTCGAAGGCTATAGACAAAGGTGTCAAGTAAAAAACGACTCTGGGAGAGTATGCATGCACGAAGGGGATAAGCAATCTTTCATTTGATACCGCTTTTTTGAAAATCAGTAGAAGTTTCTGAGAAAAACTAAAATTGTTCCCATGAACTTAAAAATAATTTTCCATGGAAACACAATAAAAATTTTAACAACCCGATTGATTAACATCATAACAACATGAAAAGTGCGAAGAAGAAGGTTTAGGCTGTGTTTCCCTTGAAACGACTCAAAGTTAGGTCATTAGGTTCGTGAAAAAAAAAGCCGAAGTAGTTTGGGCCGAGAAAAGTTTTTAAGCGAAACATTAAAAAAAACGAGGAAATACAGGCTCAAGCTAAATAAAGTTACTATTGTGGGAGTAAATCAAACACTAAAAGTAACGGTAAAAAAAAAGTGCGCAGCAAAAAAAAAAGATTTCAAGAATTGACAACTAAGCCGACAACAGATAAGCAGACAATTAAATAGCCGACAGTTTTATTTGAAACAGAAAATTTCTTGTTGGAAATAAAAAACAGGTCCCGGTCAGATTCAAACTCAGGATCTTTGCCTTTGCCATCCCAAGCATATTCGTTCCCCCCGACTAAATGATCCGTGAACGCATAAAATTTGATACCGGTGATTAAAAAAGAATCTGTTAAACTAAGTTCTTAACCCAAACAAAGTCTATATTCCAGTTTGATAAGTCTTGATGATCGCAAGCCTAAAATTTCCCAAAACCCTCTGAAACTACAAAGAACATCACTCGCATTTGAAACTACAAGTATCGGTTTCTAACATACAGAAAAAAAACACCGGCCGGGACTCGAATCTCAGAGGGTAGGGTAGAAAGGCAACCGCGTCTAACTTAGATAAAAGAGGAAGGAAACTCGAAGTTGCTAATTTTCACTTCTAAAGCAACTTCACAATTTCTTATTGTAATACTTGCTGGCCTACCTGTAAGAGAAATTGTTCCAAGGAAAAAAGTCCAGTTCCTAAGTACAAGACACTTGCTCTCACAACCTACCTGAAATTCTATAAAAAAAAAGATGAACCCTTTTCTGCCTTTGAAGCGGCCCCAAAAAAACTTAGCTAAAACAACCCATTTACGCCAAATAAAAGTTTTCAGCGAAAGGAAAATAGGATAACCAGGGCTAAACTTTACAAGCTAATGCAGCAAACCAATGAAAATCGCTGTCAGCAAGAGAATTCCCGGATTGGGCAATTGAGCTGATAAACGATCAGCAGAAAAAACATGCCAGATATTTCAACCTTATATTAGCAAGGTAACATAACTTGCATAGAGGAACCGAAGACGACAACCTTCCGGCAGACTTAAATTGAACCAAAAAATAGTTTAAAGAAAATTTAAAAATTTCAAGTCCCCCTGAAACTAAACTAAACACTTGCAATGAAGCTTGCATACAGCACAAAGAAAAATGCTAGATGTGTCACCGAAGCCGACAATATTGGAGCAGACACCAGTTAAGTCAAAAACAAACTGATTTAAATAACATTTTTTACATTGAAGCGAAAACCGTTCTATCCATTGAACCCAGAAACAGACTTGACAGTGGTATTTTTCGAAAAAAAAAATATGGTCACATATTACCCCGCAGACTTTTTCGAAGGCTGTAGACAAAGGTGTCAAGTAAAAAAAAAACTCTAGGGGAGTATGCAGGTACAAAAGGGATAAGCAGTCTTTCATTTTATACCCCTTTTTTGAAAATCAGAAGTTTCTGAGAAAAACTAAAATTATTCCAATGAACTTGAAAAATTTTTTCCATGGAAACAATAGAAACTTCAACAACCCGATTGATTAACATAAAAACAACAAGAAAAGCGCGGAGAAGAAGGTTCAAGTTGTGTTTCCTTTGAAACTACTCAAAGTTAGGTCATTAAGTTGATGAAAAAAAGGCCGCAGTAGTTTGGGCCGAGGAAAACTTTTAAGCGAAACATAAAAAAACCGAGGAAATACAGACTCGAGCTAAATAAAGTTACAAATTGTAGGAGTAAATCAAACAATAAAAGTAACAGTAAACAAAA